ACTATCCCAAAATGACCGATTGTTTTCAGCTTCAATTATTTCAGACGTGTCCTTCTCCGATCGTTGTAAGTAGAATTAATACATATATTATATTATTCTATATTATTTATATTATATTATCAAAGGAAGTTGTGAAGCAATACTTCCGAGTTACGAATGACTTTTACTTGATGGAATTGACTATGATGAAGGGTGGTGCGCGAGTGAGACTTGACCTTGATGAAGGGTGGTGTGAGCCTTTGCATTACATGACAATACAGAGTGATGAAGGGTGGTGCGCGAGTGAGACTTGACCTTGATGAAGGGTGGTGTGAGCCTTTGCATTACATGACAATACAGCAGAAAAGAACTGACGTTGATGAAGGGTGGTGTGAGACTTTACACTACATAACAATACATCAGAAAAGAACTGACCTTGATGAAGGGTGGTGTGAGACTTTACACTACATGACAATACATCAGGAAAGAACTTACTTTGATGAAGGGTGGTTGTGAGACTTTACACTACATGACAATACAGCAGGAAAGAACTTACTTTGATGAAGGGTGGTTGTGAGACTTTACACTCAATAACAATACATCAGGAAAGAACTGACTTTGAAAATACAGCAGGAATATGTGTGTTGCAACGAGTGGTTGTTCCTGTGTGCGTAGTTCTATGCGGTTCTTGAAGCTGTGGTTGCAGATCGCATTGGAATGGCTGCATGAATGTTGCATGGGCTATGTTTTGGGGAGGAAGCCGGAGCACGAAACCTTGTGTTTTTCCGTGTAAAGTGGCTGCAGGCGACGATGAAAGGTACCTCGTGTGTGCGACGGGTGCGGCTGCGGTCGTTTTGTGCGCGAATTGTTCCTCCTATGTGTTTTGCAACGAGTGGTTGTGTCTGTGTGCGTAGTTCTATTCGGTTCTTGAATCTCTGGTTGCAGATTGCATTGGAATGGCTGCTTCATTGTCGTCATTTGATGTTGCCACGTGCGTAGATAGGTGCGGGTTTGCCACGGGATGCTGCGAAACGCATTGTAATGGCTGCATGAATGTTGCATGGGCTATGTTTTGGGGAGGAAGCCGGAGCACCAAACCTTGTGTTTTTCCCTGTAAAGTGGCTGCAGCCGACGATGAAAGGTACCTCGTCTGTGCGGCGGGTGCGGCTGGGGTCGTTTTGTGCGCGAATTGTTCCTCCTATGTGTTTTGCAACGAGTGGTTGTGTCTGTGTGCGTAGTTCTATGCGGTTCTTGAATCTCCGGTTGCAGATTGCATTGGAATCGCTGCTTCATTGTCGTTATTTGATGTTGCCACGTGCGTAGATAGGTGCGGGTTTGCCACGGGATGTTGCGAAACGCATTGTAATGGCTGCATGAATGTTGCATGGGCTATGTTTTGGGGAGGAAGCCGGAGCACGAAACCTTATGTTTTTCCGTGTAGAGTGGCTGCAGCCGACGATGAAAGGTACCTCGTCTGTGCGACGGGTGCGGCTGCGGTCGTTTTGTGCGCGAATTGTTCCTCCTATATGTGTTTTGCAACGAGTGGTTGTGTCTGTGTGCGTAGTTCTATGCGGTTCTTGAATCTCTGGTTGCAGTTTGCATTGGAATGGCTGCTTCATTGTCGTCATTTGATGTTGCCACGTGCGTAGATAGGTGCGGGTTTGCCACGGGATGCTGCGAAACGCATTGTAATGGCTGCATGAATGTTGCATGGGCTATGTTTTGGGGAGGAAGCCGGAGCACGAAACCTTGTGTTTTTCCGTGTAAAGTGGCTGCAGCCGACGATGAAAGGTACCTCGTCTGTGCGACGGGTGCGGCTGCGGCCGTTTTGTGCGCGAATTGTTCCTCCTATGTGTTTTGCAACGAGTGGTTGTGTCTGTGTGCGTAGTTCTATGCGGTTCTTGAATCTCGGGGTGCAAATTGCATTGGAATGGCTGCTTCATTGTCGTCATTTGATGTTGCCACGTGCGTAGATAGGTGCGGGTTTGCCACGGGATGTTGCGAAACGCATTGTAATGGCTGCATGAATGTTGCATGGGCTATGTTTTGGGGAGGAAGCCGGAGCACCAAACCTTGTGTTTTTCCGTGTAAAGTGGCTGCAGCCGACGATGAAAGGTACCTCGTCTGTGCGACGGGTGCGGCTGCGGTCGTTTTGTGCGCGAATTGTTCCTCCTATGTGTTTTGCAACGAGTGGTTGTGTCCGTGTGCGTAGTTCTATGCGGTTCTTGAATCTCTGGTTGCAAATTGCATTGGAATGGCTGCTTCATTGTCATCATTATTTGATGTTGCCACGTGCGTAGATAGGTGCGGGTTTGCCACGGGATGCTGCGAAACGCATTGTAATGGCTGCATGAATGTTGCATCGGCTTTGTGTTGAGGAGGAAGCCGGAGCACGAAACCTTGTTTTTCCGTGTAAAGTGGCTGCAGGCGACGATGAAAGGTACCTCGTGTGTGCGACGGGTGCGGCTGCGGTCGTTTTGTCCCCGAATTGTTCCTCCTATGTGTTTTGCAACGAGTGGTTTTGATGTTGCCACGTGCGTAGATAGGTGCGGGTTTGCCACGGGATGTTGCGAAACGCATTGTAATGGCTGCATGAATGTTGCATGGGCTCTGTTTTGGGGAGGAAGCCGGAGCACCAAACCTTGTGTTTTTCCGTGTAAAGTGGCTGCAGCCGACGATGAAAGGTACCTCGTCTGTGCAACGGGTGCGGCTGCGGTCGTTTTGTGCGCGAATTGTTCCTCCTATGTGTTTTGCAACGAGTCGTTGTGTCTGTGTGCGTAGTTCTATGCGGTTCTTGAATCTCTGGTTGCAAATTGCATTGGAATGGCTGCTTCATTGTCGTCATTTGATGTTGCCGCGTGCGTAGATAGGTGCGGGTTTGCCACGGGATGCTGCGAAACGCATTGTAATGGCTGCATGAATGTTGCATGGGCTATGTTTTGGGGAGGAAGCCGGAGCACGAAACCTTGTGTTTTTCCGTGTAAAGTGGCTGCAGGCGACGATGAAAGGCACCTCGTGTGTACGACGGGTGCGGCTGCGGTCGTTTTGTGCGCGAATTGTTCCTCCTATGTGTTTTGCAACGAGTGGTTGTGTCTGTGTGCGTAGTTCCATGCGGTTCTTCAATCTCTAGTTGCAGATTGCATTGGAATGGCTGCTTCATTGTCGTCATTTGATGTTGCCACGTCCGTAGATAGGTGCAGGTTTGCTATACGGGATGCTGCGAAACGCATTGTAGTGGCTGCGTCAAGGTTGCTCGGTGCTGCGGCTGCATGCGTAATACTATTGTCTTTTGCAGCTGAAGATCGTAAATCGTATTGGAATGGCTGCATCAAGGCTGCGAAAGTGAATTGTCAGCAGATTTTCTCAATTTTGGCGCTAATAATTTTCCTTTTCAGATTCCTTTTAAAAAGTGCTTCAAAATAATTTTCCTTTTCCGGTTTTGGAAATTCAAAATCGCCATTTGCGCTTTGAATTTTGGCGCTAATAATTTTCCTTTTAAAATTCCTTTTAAAAGTGCTTCAAAATCGTCTTTTTGTCGCTTTGGCGTCGAGATCCGGTTTTGGAGCTGCAATTTCCGACGCCATTGCACGTAGTTCTATTGTGTTTTGCAACTCAGTCTCTACAGATCGCATTGTAGTGGCTGCGTCAAGGTTGCTTGGCGCAGCGGCTGCATGCGTAATACTATTGTCTTTTGCAGCTGAAGATCGTAAATCGTATTGGAATGGCTGCATCAAGGCTGCGAAAGTGATTTGTCAGCAGATTTTCTCAATTTTGGTGCAATGTGAAGTGTGAGGAAAGTGTTTGCATTCTACCGGGGTCGCGCGCAGCTCATGTTCTTGGACAGCAACACTGCAACAGCTTCGCACAAAGCACGCACGCACGGGCCTGGCTGGCGCACGGCGCATGCAAGTTCCTTAGTAGTAGTACTGGGAAGGGATTCATGAAAGCTTAGGTGACATATGAGAAGAGATGAGATGAGAAGAGATGAGCTGGGATAAGGTGAGAAGAGCTCAGATGAGATGAAGTGTGGAGTGTGAAGAGTGCAGTGTGAAGTGTGGGGCGTGAAGAGTGCAGTGTGAAGTGTGGAGTGTGAAGTGTGGATTGGGGAGAGTGCAGTGTGAACTGAGAAGTGTGAAGTGTTGACTGCGAAGGGTGCGGTGTGAAGTGTGAAGACTGTCACGTGTGAAGTGTGACGTGGGGCTTCAAGTGTGACATGTGAAACACGACATCAGTTTCGCAGAGTGCACGCACGCACGGGCTTGGCTGGCGCATGGCGCATGCAAGTTCTATAGATGACAAAGGTCTTATATATATCTTTAAGGCAACTTCCGCCCCGCCTCGTGCGGGTACTACTGGTATTATTATTATATCATATTATATTATATACCCCCAAATCATCATCCATTTCAATAGGATTAAACCATCCATTTTGGGGTACCCAAAATTTAGGAAACCTCCATATTCCATAGCATGCCATACCAACTTTAGAGTTTCAAACTGAAAATAGATCTTCCTGGCTGGTGAAATCCCAGCAGATCCGATAAAGTCTTTGCATTGCATGGTGGGAGGTTCCTGTTAAAGTTGCCCCAGCTGGTTCACAAGGGTCGGTTTGGCGAAGCCGGTTCCCATGGCCATTTTGAATCATTTTGAAGGAACATCATGATCATCAAACTTTGAGGTGCCCTATCTTGAGACAAAGCAATATCTTAAAAGTGGATAACCATCCGATACCTTTGGATAATTAGCGAAATTTAGTTATTTATTGAAGAAATATCATCAGGTCATTTTCAATATTCATGTAATTATGGAGCTTTCAGAGAGACTGATGGTGACAGACGGAACTTGTCATAGGAATGATGAATTGGTTTCTCCAAAACTGGGTAGTGGATCCAAAATGGAAACCCACAAATTTGTATACATGGGAGCCGTTTTGCCCCAATCATCCAGCAAAAATGAATTGTCACAGCAAAGTGAATGAACTGCTGGTGCAACAGAATTCATATACCAGCACACACTTCTCCGAAGTGATGGAAAGGGCTGTGGCTTGCGGACATTGTTGACAATGCAACCTTCCACCATTGGATGACGGAATTTCATATACCCAGGTTTCTGCTGGCGCCTTGCACACAGTACTTCTCCGAAGTGATGGCAGGGCTGTAGCTTGCGGACAGAATTCGGTTGGACAATGCACCATTCCACCATTGGATGACGGAATTTCATATACCCAGGTTTCTGCCGGCGCCAATCACACAGTACTTCTCCGAAGTGATGGCAATGCTGCGGCTTGTGGAAGCAACATGGGTGGACAATGCACCATTCCACCATTGGATGACGGAATTTCATATACCCAGGTTTCTGCTGGCGCCTTGCACACAGTACTTCTCCGAAGTGATGGCAATGCTGTGGCTTGCGGACAGAATTCGGCTGGAGAATGCACCATTCCACCATTGGATGACGGAATTTCATATACCCAGGGTTCTGCTGGCACCATGCACACAGTACTTCTCCGAAGTGATGGCAGGGCTGTAGCTTTCGGAGGGAAGACTTCTGGACAATGCAACCTTCCACCATTGGATGACGGAATTTCATATACCCAGGTTTCTGCTCGCGCCATGCACACAGTACTTCTCCGAAGTGATGGCAGGGCTGTAGCTTTCGGGGGGGACACTGCTGGACAATGCAAACTTCCGACTCCTGATCCAGGGACATGGTACGTTGCAGATGTGTCAGTTGGTCAAAACCTTGTGTTACAACTAGAGTGTGCTCGTCAAGATGATGCTATGCTGCTGACTTGCTCCGGTCTCACTGGGCAAGAAACGATACGTTTGAATGCCAGTCCATCTGATCCTGCCTGGAATACGCAGAAACGCATCGCGCGTGAATTGCAGGTTCCACTCCAAAGTCTTCGAGTGGTCTTACCTGACGGACAGTTGTTGGCCGCAGTCTGCCAGGCAAAGCCAGGGGCCAGCCTTGCAGATGTCAGTGAAGCTCGAAAGCTTCGGTGTCTCAGCTAGCTTCGAATCGGACAGAATTGGATGGAAAATGATCAAACATGTGAGGTCCAAACAATGGACAGTCCTAATTTTGGGGCTTTGGGTGGGGCTGCAGGGGCTTAAGTTTGGATGTTGTTACACCAGCCATTATCCGTCCATGTTTTTCTGTGTTTTTTTTCTGTGTTTTTGATAGGGAGCTGGCGAGACCGAATCATGCCATAGGGATAGAATCGGATCGAAGGAGTCATTGTTCGGATATCGAACCGACATTTTTCGGAGATCAGAAACCAAATTGAGAATATGTTATAATATGTTGACTTTGGATGACATTTTTCGGAAGACTTCTAAGATGCTATGACAATCCTTTCTAAAAAGTACTTGTGTTTCATCTTGGTTCCAGATTTTGGGGCACCAAGCTGAAATTGTGTAGTGGTAGGATTCGGTAGGACGGGCATTGTCACGGGCGGGCACAATCTGTATTATGTACAATCATTATCAACAATTATCGATAATTTTGAATAAATATCAATAATGATTCAATAATTACAATGTACTGTAATACTGGTTCATACAATTTACATATACATACACTCCGAAAATTTATCATGGCTGTTGAAAATTATCACATTTAACAGGTGAATCCTCTACACATGGGCCATATCCTACCGCTGTGTTCAGCCAGAGGGTACAGACTGTAATCCCATCCCCCACTAAACACATGCCAGAAACTGTGGTTGAATACGGGATTTACACATATTTGGGACCATAGAATGGTGGAGTTTAGTAATAGTTGGGTCGGACCATTATAAAAGTTATATAAGTTATACAAGTTATTTAAGTTATTAAAGTATCGTTAACTACCCAGTTCACCATTCAGACCCAATATGCCAATATCCCAGCGACTAAATCATATGAAATCCCAATTTTGGTTGGTCAAAGTCGCAATGTTCAATGGTTTTGCTATATCTGAATATGGAGGTTTCCTGACATGGGGGTACCCCCAAATCATCATCCATTTCAATAGGATTAAACCATCCATTTTGGGGTACCCAAAATTTAGGAAACCTCCATATTCCATAGCATGCCATACCAACTTTAGAGTTTCAAACTGAAAATAGATCTTCCTGGCTGGTGAAATCCCAGCAGATCCGATAAAGTCTTTGCATTGCATGGTGGGAGGTTCCTGTTAAAGTTGCCCCAGCTGGTTCACAAGGGTCGGTTTGGCGAAGCCGGTTCCCATGGCCATTTTGAATCATTTTGAAGGAACATCATGATCATCAAACTTTGAGGTGCCCTATCTTGAGACAAAGCAATATCTTAAAAGTGGATAACCATCCGATACCTTTGGATAATTAGCGAAATTTAGTTATTTATTGAAGAAATATCATCAGGTCATTTTCAATATTCATGTAATTATGGAGCTTTCAGAGAGACTGATGGTGACAGACGGAACTTGTCATAGGAATGATGAACTGGTTTCTCCAAAACTGGGTAGTGGATCCAAAATGGAAACCCACAAATTTGTATACATGGGAGCCGTTTTGCCCCAATCATCCAGCAAAAATGAATTGTCACAGAGCACTTCTCCGAAGTGATGGAAATGCTGTGGCTTTCGGAGGGAACACTTCTGGACAATGCAACCTTCCACCATTGGATGACGGAATTTCATATACCCAGGTTTCTGCTGGCGCCTTGCACACAGTACTTCTCCGAAGTGATGGCAGGGCTGTAGCTTGCGGACAGAATTCGGTTGGACAATGCACCATTCCACCATTGGATGACGGAATTTCATATACCATGGTTTCTGCCAGCTTCAATCACACAGTACTTCTCCCAAGTGATGGAAATGCTGTGGCTTGCGGACAGAATTCGGTTGGACAATGCACCATTCCACCATTGGATGACGGAATGCTGTCCTTGGCAAACGTTGGATGTTGAGCGGCAATGTGCCCGCCCAATTTTTTGAAAGTAGGATGATTTCTTTGGCCAAGCCTGGTAAGGTCAATGCTTTGAACCAGATCTCAGTTAAACATTTGAGGCCCATCACTGTGATGTCGGTCTGGTGGCGAATCTGGGCTAGCGCTTGGGCCAAAGGCTGTTTGCGTGAGTGGATGCGGCAACATGTGCCGCGACATTTTGCTGTTGCTCATGCTGTGTCTACTGGGGAGGTCGTTGTTGATCTTTTGGATAAATTGATGGCTGGGGGTTACCTTGCTAGCTTGGATTACTCCAAAGCTTACGATTTGCTTGATCCCAGCGTCACCAAAGCCCTCATGATTCATTTGGGCTGGGATCCCAGCTTTGTTGAGGTTGCTACCAAGGTTTGGCTTCATCAGGAACGTTGGGTTTCTTTTGGGGTTCACACTCATGTCACCCGCACCCCTGTGGCGCCAGCCATGCCTCAAGGGGATCCGTTGGGCCCGTTGGTGATGGCTTTGTGGACTTGGGGCGGTTGGGCGTCTGTTGAAAGTGTTTGCAACAGTCGTGATTCAATTTTGTCTCGCGTCTTTGTTGATGACCGTGCTTTTGTTGGCCCGCGGGTTTGGGCTCTCATGGAACGCTTCCATGCTTGGTGCGCTTGGTCTTTTTCGGTTGGCTTGCTTGAAAATCAACAAAAAACTGTGGTGGTTGCTTCCACGCCGGCACGAAGAGCCACTCTTCGGAAACATTGGCCGGACTACGTTGCCACTAATACTGAATTGCTTGGTTCTTGTAGCATGGTTGCTTGTCGTGGCTTGATGCCCAAGGAGTTGGAACGTGTGAATGCGTGCAAGCGGGTTTTGACTTTGCTTGCTTGTATCGGTATGCCGTTTGAACCTTACATGCGTGCCTGTCGGAGCTTTGCTGTCTCTAAAGTGGCTTATGGGTGGATTGCTAGGGCTCCTCCTTTGACGTTGTGCAAAGCCCTTTTTTCGTGTGTGCACATGGGTAGTCGGCGGTTGCGAAGCGCCTCTGTCTGGCTTCGGGCAGCTCTTTTCGGTGGTGGGCTTCACTTGGACGTGTTGTTTGCTACTCAGTTGGTTGGAATTCTGTCTCGTGTTCAGCGCAGGAGGGCTTTGACTTGGTCTTCTGTGTCTGGAACGCCTGCTCGCGCGTTGAAGGATTGGCTTTGTTCTCATGGATGGATCTGTGACGCTGACTGGAAATGGAGTCATGCTTTGTCGCGTTCTGTTCTTGATTTTACTGTCGTTGATAATGCCGGTGCTCGTCAACATGTGGTCCGTACTGCTTGGCGCGCTTGGTGTCTCAACAAACATTGTCAATCCACTCGGCGGGACAATAATCTTGATTGCTTTGAAAGCGGTTTGTTTCACAGAATTGATTGGGATGGTATTCGGAAATTTGCGGCTTCTGGGCCGGAGGCGCGTGCTTTGGCGACAGGGGGTTCTTTTTCTCCTGCTGCGTTGCACAGTGCCCAAAATCTTGATGTTGCTGACACTTGTATTTGGCCTGGTTGTCATGACGTTGGCAGTTTTGACCATATTGCTTGGTCTTGTCCTTGTCGTCCATGCAACATGGATATCCCGCCCAAGCCGGGTGAGTTTCTTGTGGCTCGGTTTGGGTGGGTCATTTCTCGTGTGGATGCTGACATGGATCGTGTTCATGCTTGGCTTGTTTTTGTGCAGCGAACCATTTGGGAACTTCGGCATGGCTCTTAACGTGCTATGCTGATCCCTGCATGATTTACTGTTGATGTCGTTTGCGATGGCCTGGGTTCCCCCCTTTTGTTTTGGGGTTGATTACTGGCGGGTCTTTTGGTATTTGCTCAGGGCTTTTTAGCTCTGTGGATTGGGTGGCGGCGCTGTTCACTCAGTGCCCGTCCACGTGCGCTACTCATTTGGGGGTAGTTCACTAGTAAAGTTTCACATATACCCAGGTTTCTGCCGGCCAAAATCACACAGTACTTCTCCAAAGTGATGGCAATGCTGTGGCTTGCAGACAGAATTCGGTTGGACAATGCAACCTTCCACCATTGGATGACGGAATTTCATATACCCAGGTTTCTGCTCGCGCCATGCACACAGTACTTCTCCGAAGTGATGGCAGGGCTGTAGCTTGCGGACAGAATTCGGTTGGACAATGCACCATTCCACCATTGGATGACGGAATTTCATATACCATGGTTTCTGCCAGCTTCAATCACACAGTACTTCTCCGAAGTGATGGAAATGCTGTGGCTTGCGGACAGAATTCGGTTGGACAATGCACCATTCCACCATTGGATGACGGAATTTCATATACCCAGGTTTCTGCCGGCCAAAATCACACAGTACTTCTCCAAAGTGATGGCAATGCTGTGGCTTGCAGACAGAATTCGGTTGGACAATGCAACCTTCCACCATTGGATGACGGAATTTCATATACCCAGGTTTCTGCGCGCGCCATGCACACAGTACTTCTCCGAAGTGATGGCAGGGCTGTAGCTTTCGGAGGGAACACTGCTGGACAATGCAACCTTCCACCATTGGATGACGGAAATTCATATACCCAGGTTTCTGCTCGCGCCATGCACACAGTACTTCTCCGAAGTGATGGCAGGGCTGTAGCTTTCGGAGGGAACACTGCTGGACAATGCAAACTTCAGACTCCTGATCCAGGGACATGGTACGTTGCAGATGTGTCAGTTGGTCAAAACCTTGTGTTACAACTAGAGTGTGCTCGTCAAGATGATGCTATGCTGCTGATTTGCTCCGGTCTCACTGGGCAAGAAACGATACGTTTGAATGCCAGTCCATCTGATCCTGCCTGGAATACGCAGAAACGCATCGCGCGTGAATTGCAGGTTCCACTCCAAAGTCTTCGAGTGGTCTTACCTGACGGACAGTTGTTGGCCGCAGTCTGCCAGGCAAAGCCAGGGGCCAGCCTTGCAGATGTCAGTGAAGCTCGAAAGCTTCGGTGTCTCAGCTAGGTTCGAATCGGACAGAATTGGATGGAAAATGATCAAACATGTGAGGTCCAAACAATGGACAGTCCTAATTTTGGGGCTTTGGGTGGGGCTGCAGGTGCTTAAGTTTGGATGTTGTTACACCAGCCATTATCCGTCCATGT